TAGGCTTATATGTATGCATACAAGCCCTTTGGTTGATTTCTCCCTCTTACCCTCACCTTCCTTTACCTTCCCTCTGAGGTTTGAAGATTTGATTGATGTTTCTCTGTCTCTGGATTTGTTTTTGTTCATCAGTTTATGTTGTTCATTATATTCCATAAATAAGTGAGAACTAATCTAAATTAATTTTAAAATGTTATACTTAAAATATGGCATTCTAAAATTTTAGAATTTGATGTACAAACAGCACTTTTGAAATATGTAGAATATTTTATTTCACTGTGGAGAATTCCTTGAGAACCTGAGAAGCATTTATCTAATGTATGGTAAAGGTGTGTGTAATTGAGAAAAACAAGTGAACAATGAACTTTGGCCCAGGAAAAAAGGAAAAGATTTACTCCATCTGGCTTAAAAGACTTGGTTCAATTTTACAGCATGGATATATTCTTTTCCTTTTGGAACGGTTTAAGTGTAGATTTTCTTCTGGAAACTCAATCTCTTTAATCAGCTTGCATTAAACTGCTTTTCTGTTAAGAGATTAATGAATAAATAATTCAGTCACTAGATAACAACTGAATGAGTGAGGCCATTATTAAAAGACCACCAGAGTGCTAACAGGTATTATGTCCTGTATTAATATTTTCCATTCTATAAACAGTAATTGAAAACTCAAACTATTGAGAAAATAATTTTTTGATCCAACCTTCCTTCAGTCAAGGTAATTGAGCAGTTTGAACAAATTTCTATGTTTGCTTTTTTAATATTTGTTTGTCGATATCACAAGACTATTAATCTTAAATACAAGGGCATATTCATCTCTGTGTCTCCAGGGCTCAGAGCTAAGTGAGTCCCATGAATAGGTAGCCACATGCCCCATGATTGAAGGTGCCTTCCTCATTAGAGCTTCCCTTTATCATATCCCTTAATCAAGCCTCAGAATCCTCTTAAACTGCAAGTTGATTTGCTCTAACTAGGTTTTTTTTTTTTTTTTTTTTTTTTTTTTTTTTAAATCAGGTATAGTTACATGACTTTCTCAAAGCTTTTCTTTTCTTATTTAAATGTAAATTATAATAAATAATACAAGAATCTAAATGCTCTTTACCTAGTTTTCTTCAATGGTAACATCTTGCAAAACTGTGGTATAATATTAACACCAGAATATTAATATCTAGGATACAGAATATTTCTATCACCACAAGATCTCTCCAGTTGTCTTTTTATAGCTTCACCTACTTCACTACAGTCCCTTCCTTAAATCTAAATTCTAAAGAATGTTCATAATCATTAATCCTCGTGGTCAGGATGTCTCCTTTTTCCTGTTAGCTTTACAATTGTTTATAAAATAATGCTGGTTTAGCCCAATCCAAAGACTATTTTTCCCCAGGTAAACATTCCAAAGGGTTCAAGGAGTAAGACGTGCAAAGCATTTCCTCTGGACTGATGTCTCCGACTGCATTTTGAAATGGTTGTTTATTTAATTTTTTACATTATACTAGTGAATGAAATAATATAGCCTCTGACTTTGGGGATTTACTGTTTTTACTCCACATAAATCTCTGGACATTTTTCAAAATGGTTTGATGTATAAATAGCCTGTTTCTTTTTATTGCTCTGCAGTGAATCTTGGATAAAAGGGCTTTTTTCCATAACTAAGAATGGTTAATGCCAGAGGGAGAAGTGCTGTAGCGAGTGCTCTGATGTAGACCAGATGCCAGGTAAAGAGAAGAGGTCTGTCTGAAAAGCTATTCAGTGTATATAAAAACTCTGACAAAAGCCACCCAAATCTAACTAAATACTGCAACAAAAGATTGGTCATTGCTGGGAATATTTTGAGCAAATATCACCAGCCACAGCAGCAGAATTTTACAACAGCTTCAATAGGTGATATAAAAAGTAAAAGTAATTGGGTCATCCTAACCTTCTTTGCTTCATATCATACAAAATTAGTAGTGCTGACTCATTTAAAAAAATATATAATATATCTAAAATGAAGTGTTCTGATATCATGATTGGTAAAATTGTGTCAAAGTCACGATGTCTAAGATATGAAATAACTTTACAGTAAGTCAATGAGTTGATTGTAATCTCTGTCTAGAACAGGGGTGGGGAACATCTGGCCCGAGGGCTGAATAAGGCCTGCAAAATCATTTGGTCTAGCTCTGCCAAGCTTTAGGGTTGAGTTCATTAAATGTTTGACCAAATATCTAATTTTTAAGTTGATAATTTTGTATGACCCATGAATGATCTTATACATATCTAAATGACCCTTGGCAGAAAAAAGGTTCCCCATCCCTGATCTAGATGGTAACCTAAATGCTGGATTCAATTCACATTTTTCAGAAACATGGGTTCTAACAGTATGAGGAACTAAGTATATAGTATGGAAAATCCTTAATCAGTAAAAGGCAGTAGAGCCTTTGAAATTAATACATTAGTGGTAAAAAAAAAAAAAAAAAGTGTGGAAATTAGTTAACTCTTCTTTTATGGCCAAAAACAAGTTAAGTGATATTATCAGTGATTTCTGACATTGGTCTACAGTAGCATGCATGCACTCCACAGAGCAGCAAAATCAATAAAATGTGATACAAGAAAAACAATTATTTTTATTTCTCTCTGTGTGTCTCCGTCTCTCTCTTCATTTATATATGTATATGCTAGAGGCCTGGTGCAAGAAATTCATGCACAAGGGGTGGGGACCATTAGCCTGGCCTGCATCCTCTAGCAATCCAGGACTGCTTGGATGTTTGACTGCCAGACATCCCTCTTTCAATCTAGGACTGCTGGCTCCTAACCACTCATATGCCTGCCTGATCGCCTCTAACCACTCTGCCTTGGCCCCTGCTGCCACTGTGGCTTCATCTAGAAAGCCATCCAGAAGGTCGTTTGGCTGTCCAGTCTAATTAGCATATTATGCTTTTGTTATAGACTGGAGACATGCATGGATTCATGTACCAGTGGAGGCCCTTGGTCTGGCCTGGGACCTCTCGCAATCTGGGACCTCTTGGAGATATTAGAGAGCTAGTTTTAGCCCAATCCATGCAGGCCAGGCAAGGGACCCACCAGCACCCGAATCATTGCACCAGGCCTCTAGTATACAGATAGGGTCTTTGGTTAATCTCTTTCTACCCTCTCCCCCTTCTCCTCCCTCTGAGATTCATCAGTCTGTTCCATGGTTTCATGCCTGTGGTTTTTGCTTTTGCATTGAGTGTCTGCCCAGTGGTGGTTAGTGTGCATCATAGCTACCAGCTGGTTGGGCAGTTGGCTGGTTTCTTAGGCTTTTTTATATATAGAGATTATTTATAATTTTATATATATATATATATATGTATATATATATATATATACACATATATATAATTATAAATAATTATATATAAAAAATTTTATATATAAAATTTTCTATCTATATATATATGGACAAAAATGTAAAAAGATTAAGCGTTTCTTCAGTACCATTACAGATTCACAATGACATCTTTTTTAAAATGTATCTTTATTGTTGACAGTATTACAGATGTTCCCTTTGGTTTTCTCTCTTCCCCATTGACCCCCTCCACCTTGCGCCTGCCCCTCCCAAGCCTTCACCACATTAACACTGGCATCTTTGTCTTTATGTCAGATGACCATGAGTCACGAATGATAACACTAAAAATATTCTGAGGAAACAGGAATTTTAAGGAAGACAGAGGAGTAAACAGTGGCACTCTTGTTATTTTAATTGAGATATAATCATCTCTAATAAAAGAATAATATGCAAATTAGTCATCACTCCACTATACCCACCAGCAGCGCCCACCAGCCAATCAGGAGCAGATATGCAAATAAACCTAACCAAGATGGCTACAGCCACAGAGAGCAGGAGGGATGCTTGGGTTTCCCCAACAATGGAAGAAGCCAAGCTTTCCACCTACCTTTGCCAATCTAGGCCTCAAAGTTTCAATGATAAGAAGATACATAAACTCAAACAGAAGTGGCTGCCACCACAGAGCAAGAAGAAACTTGGTTCCACTTCAAGCTACAAAGTTTCAACTGTGGAAGATAAATAATTCCCATATACCAGGGCTTCCACTTGGGTTGCTGGGGGGAGGGGGGTGTGGTCAGCCTGCAAACCACCACAGGCCCCTCACCCAGGCTGCCCCATGCCCCAGGGGAAACCCCTCCCTGGTCCTGGACAAACTAGCCCCCACCCATGAACCAGGCTTCTATCCTATCTAATAAACGAGTAATATGCAGATTGAGCATCACTCCAACACACAAGATGGCTGACCCCTGTGGTTAAAGATTCTGCATCCATGTGGTCACAAGATAGCCATCATAAGATGGCCAAAAGGGGAGGGCAGTTGGAAGAGACCAGGCCTTCAGGGGAGGGCAGTTCGGGGCAAACAGGCTGGCAGGAGAGCATTTGGGCACCAATCAGGCTGGCAGGGAATGGTTAAGGGGTGATCAGGCTGTCAGGCAGAAGCAGTTAGGGGCAATCAGCAAGGCAGGCAGGTGAGCAGTTGGAAGCCAGCAATCCTGGATTGTGAGAGAGATGTCCTCTGACTGCCCTCGACAGGTCCTAGATTGGAGAGGGTGCAGGCTGGGCTGAAAGAATCCCCTCCTCCGTTATCATTCTAAGCATATAACAAAGATAAATTAAAACCTTTTAAGGGGATATTTTTGTTCTAATCACTCTATTTTAAAGACTACCCTAAATATCTTTGCAAGTTCAAAGATCCAGAAGTTGAATTTTAAAAAATAAATCAGATAACTTTATAGATTTCAAACTTTATTGTTTAATCTTTAAGAATAGTAAAGATTATTGTGGGAAGATAAAAATCACAGAAACAGTACTGATTTGTGATATGGAGGCTTTTAAATTCCTTGAATATTCTATTATAAATCACCGTTATTAGTAAATAAGGAAATGTCACATATAAAGTACCTTTCACTAAATGTTTAAAGAGATTTTTTTTTTCTAATTTAAGTGCCAGCAAAGGAGTTGGACAAAGAGCAGGTATTTCCTAGATCTCTGAACGAAACTGCAATGTAGACCCTTTCATTTTCTTTTTATAATCATCTTCAAACTGCTCATATTGAGCTACAGTGAACTTATTCTTCCAGTCTCCTGCAATACCTGAAAAGAAACATAAATGGTAAATTTGAGATTACTGTCAAATTTTCATCTAAGATGAGATCGAACTTGGATTATCATGCTTATATTTTAAACCTTCAGCATATCTTATCGACTCTATAACTCTATTAATTACCTCCTGCTACCACTGCCACACTCCTACTCCTTCTTAGTTTTCCAAAAATTCCATGCATTTTTTCCTGTATCTTATATGAAGAAAAAAATCTTTCAAGTAGCTTCAAGAAATGCCACTAGGAAAATATCAAACATATTCTCTTTGACTTCAAGATATTTGTTAACAAAAGATACAGAAAATGTTTCAATCCTTCTAAGACTCATTTTTCTATGTCAAATGGTAATTTATTTTAAAAAGTTCCATGATCAAGTAAGATTGGGAAATCACAGGGTTAAATGTAATTAAGTGTATGTCTTTATTATAGGGTGCTCAATCTTCAAAATACTAACTGTGTTTAAAAACCTCAAAAGAAAAATACAGGACACAGCATTCTCAATGAATATGTGATAAAAAAAAAAAGTTATTTTTGTAGATTATCTCACAGGAGACACATCTGGAAGTTGAATTTTAGAATAAAAATATGAAAGAAAAGATTTCAAAGTAAAATTTTCAATCTGGCCTGGGATTTCTGAACTATGACATTTTATTTATATCTCCACTCTTAACATGTGAAGCCAAAGGATTCTTTGCTAGGTAGGATGTAGGGATGCTCTATGCATTCATTGTAGGATACTTATCACCATCCCTGGTCTCTATTAGAGGCCAGTTACACACCCTTCTCATGACCATCAAAAATACCTCCAGATGTTTCCAAATGTCTCCTAGGAGGCAAAAATCATACATGCTTGAGAGTCAGCTATCTCCAGCAAAACTTATCCATGGCATTCTTCCTAACTTTTTAAAAGAAAAATCTCTATAATGCATAAAGATACATTATAATTAAAGTTACCTTTAACATTCCCTTTATAAACTTTGTGTGTATTATTCTCTCTCCTTCATGGTAAAGAGATTTTACATCTCTGGAAATTGTCAAGTGTTGTGTGGTTCATCCTTGCCTCGCTAACTTTGGGCTTGAGTTTTTGATATGCTTTGGCCAATGAAATTTGAATATGTGCAATATATACCACATCTGAATTGAACTTTATAAGAGACATTGCAAGTTTCCACTACCTCTTTTGCTTCTCTTCTATACCATGATAGTGGTTGTATCCCACAAACAGGCAGTTCTTTCCACCTGAGCTTCAGAAAGAGAAAACACAAGAGACTATGCCCATGATAACCGGTCAACACTGATCAGACTCAAAAAGTGCTGAGCAGAACTGCAGCAGCCACAAATAACCAGCATCCAAGTGAAAATTAAATCTTGTGGTTTTAAGCCATTGCGATTCTTTGAGTTGTTTGTTTTATAACAAAGCTGACTAACATGTACACACAACAAAATCTCTCTCTCTCTCTCTCTCTCTCTCTCTCTCTCTCTCTCTCTCACACACACACACACACACACACACACACACACACACATGCAATCCAAATCAACTCAAATTTATTATTTATTAAAGAGCTATTTTTGTGCAAGATGCTAGCTATATATTGAGTTCAATTCTGAAGATGCAACAATTTACCATAATCATAGCAACTACCTCAAGGAATTGACACTTTCATTAATTTAGTATGTGTAATCCTATATACTAAAAGCCCAGCTACAATAATGGTGAAACAACCAGAATGACTGCTCATCCAGTCACTATGAGGTGCATTGAAAACTCTCAGTCTCCCTCCCTCTCCTCACAGCCTGCAGGCTTCAGTTGCCAGATGGCAAAAGGGGAATGAGGGTGAGTGGCAGTAGGGCAGGACTGGGGATTGGCGAGTGGGTGGAAGATGGCCCTGATTACAAGCTAGGCCTAGGAACCCTAACTACGCACGGTTTAGTGCACTTGGCCTCTAATTTCATATAAGCTTTTTACCTACCACTGCAAAATTTCTAAGGAATGATGGATAGATATCTAGGTAATTCAGAAAAATAAAGGGCATTCTTCTGATATATCAATGGATACCAAGACTCATGCTTATTGATACATAGGCTCTTGAGTAAACATTTCTTATTAAAGACTTGTCTTACCTGCCAATATTACAGCAATCATAGAGTTTCTTTGCCATAAATTATTTTCTCAAATGTTTTCAGTTTTCCTACATTGTTTCTCTCAATCTCTTTCCATTTCTTATAATATTGCTTTTATTAATCGACCTACATTCTCTCTAATGTGACTAACAAGCACTACAGAAACTAGAATGTGATGTCCTCACCTTTTCTCATGAAGGGCGACACAGAATGATCCATATCAAATGTTGGTACAGTAGTATAATTTGCACAGGGATTTTGCTTCATCACATCAAAAGAAGTATGATAGATGATTTTATTCACAGTTTCTTCTGAAAGGTTTTTATCTAGAAATTTCAACAACTTCTGAATTTCACGCTTTGGATTCTAAAAAAATTATAAAGACAATTTATTTCATATAGATTTAGTCATAAAGTAAGCACAGTAAATTATGTTCTATATATCAATGTGGTATAGAAAATGATTTTATATTTTACCCATACTTTTAATTTTGCTTTCCCTAGTATATATCCTACTCTTGGTTATATCTGCTAGAAGAAATTTTTTTAAAGTACAAAGAAAAAGACTGAGTCAATATTTCAACTTTTTACATTCAAAAATAGAATTAACTTTTAGAATAAAAGATGTTGATAAAGGAAGTTATTATTATCATAAGATATAATTTTCAAAATCCCCATTTTTATAACTAATACTAGAATAGGCTACCTACTAAAATTTTTAGTAAGAATGAAATCCTTCTCAAACTCTTCAATAAAATAGAAGAGGAGATAATATTTTTAAAGTTATTTTATAAGGCTAGCATTACCCTGATACCAAAGACCAGGCCAGTACAAGGAAAGAAAATTAGAGGCTAACATCCCTGAGGAGCACAGATACAAAATACTCAAACAAAAGTCAATGGTATTTTTAAAGGAACATACACCATGTGATCAAGTGGGACTTTTTCCTGGGGTTCTAAGATGGTTCAAAATCGGTAAATCAATCAAAGTGATACACCACATTAACAAAATGAAAGATAAAAAGCATATTATCATCTCAATAGATGTAATTAAAAACTATCAACAAAATGAGTATAGAAGGAACAAATATACAGGGCATATATGACAGGTCTATATCTAACATGCACAGTGTTTTCTTTAAGACCATGAATCATGGTGAACTACAGTTAATAATATTGTATTGTATATTTGAAAGTTGCTAAGAGAGTATACTTTAAAAGTTTTCATCATAAAAAATTGTAATTATGTGTGGTGATGAATGTCAACCAAACAATGTGGTGATAATTTCACAATATATACATATATTGAATCATTATGTTGTATACTTGGATCTAATATAGTATGTGTCAATTATATCTCAATAAAAATAATAGATTACTTATCTAAGAGAGTTTCTCATATAGTGGGGGGGGGAAGGATACTCTTTTTATCTTTTATACCTACATAGATTTTTTGAGTATGAGTACATATGTACATATGAGTACATTAAGAGAAAGTAAAATAAAATCTTGTCCGTTTTACAGCATAAGGAATGATGGGGAGGAGGAAGAGGCAACAATGAAGAAATCTATTTTATGTATTTATTATGATTTCCCTTTTCTGTGGATCACACTATACATAGGACAGCATGTTAGATACAAATGAAAGAATAGCACTCAGGCCAAAGAGTTTGTACCCTGCTATTCATTGGTGAGGTGTCCTTGGTGGTACAAACAAAACTGAGGCAGATAGTCATGATCTTAGTGACCTGGTAAAATCGGGCATAAGGATAATCTGAAATTTAGTTTTCTGGAGTTACCCATCTTAATTCATGGAAACAGAACTAGAGTTTCTGAAGTGGCTCTAAAATAATCTATTTCTTGTAGCTAAAGAACTAAATTTGCTGAAAATTAGACACACAACTTAATTATTCTAGTGAAGGAATTATAATGAAATTTAATTCCCAGTTGTGCCAAGTCCATGATGTGAAGGTTAAATGGAAGAATGATAAGGAAAGTGTGGACTGTTCAAGCTTATAATGAGAATTTGGGGGTGATCTGATGATCAAGGAATCTAGGACCCTTGAGTATCTTTGAATTTTTTTCTTGCTAGCAGATATAGATTTTTCTTCCATATTTGAAGAGACTAAACTTCCTTTGCTGGAAGACTATATTATGAAATAATTTGGAAATTTCCCTCCCAAGATAATGCCTATCCTCTTAAATATCAACCCCAACCACTACTTATTGCTTTTAGAACCACAACGAGGGTAATAAATCACTGTGAATCAGAGACATAGGTACAGAATTGTTTAAACAGGATTCAGAAAAGTCAAAGAATTAGACTAAGGAGTCTACCAGAGGGGATCACCTTAGCTGGGTAAGATGGTTTCCCAAGAGATTGTAGAATAGATTTTCAAAATAAGAGATTAATGGTAGTCTTAATCATCTAAAGGAATTCAGAGAAATCTAAGGGACCGAGATGAGGCTAAGTCAAGGTACTGGATTCTAAGCAATTGAGGCAGATAAACCAGATAGTCTGTGGAGAGGGAGAGGTCAGTAGACATTGTTTCCAGGGATCTCAGCCCATCCTCATTCTTGTGATGTCTTATATAATTTGCCCTTTGCCCCACACACATAGGCTCTACGTTAAAAAGAAAAGAGAGCTATAGACAAGCTATTTGAAAAACATTCAATTTAAAGAAATGTGCAACATTTCTGAAATAGATTGTGTAAATAATAAGATCAAAATAAGTATTTTTATCAAATTAGGAAATGAACTTTTTTCTTGCTAATAATCAGAAAGAAGATGAGAAAAAAAATGAAAATAAATAAGGAAACTATATTGTTTTCCTATTATGTTTGCCACTTGGGAAAACAATCATAGACAAATTAAATTTGGTCTCTACATTCAAGAAGCTTACATTAAAAAACAACAAAACATAAATAAAGAAACACATACATAAAATAATTAGAAATGGTGGTGGATACCATTTAAAGAGTAATATCAGCAAAATGGAGTTTATAGAAAATAATGAGGTAGATTATTTGACATTGTTAACATAAATGAACTTTGTGGTTGGAGAAGTTACATTTAATTGAAGACATGAAGGATGAGAAGAAGTTAATCTGAAAATAGTGAGAAGAAATATTTCAGGTAAGCTCACTTACAGAGAAAAGAAACAATGGCACCAGAAGAAGTTGTAGAGGAAGTCAGAAAGTAAATATGCTGAAATTCATAAATTACAGTAATGACTTTATTTCTCATGTAGGGGTATAATCCGTTGGGAGACATATTTTTATTTAGGTTTCAATATCATTCTTTCTAAATGGATAATAGATGCAAAATGAGATAGAATGAACACATAAAAATAGTTGCCTAAACTAGAGTAAGAAGCAGTAGAGTTAGAAAGAAGCTGATTGCCTGAAAGATGAATTTTCAAGTCAGAGTTAACAGAATAATAAATTAATTATATTTATAGATCAAATGGAAAGGAAAGTGTGATACAAAAAAAAGGTTAAGGATAGGTTTCCTTAAAAAATAAAGAAGAAATTGTGGTTATTTCTTACCTCTTTCATGTCTTCGTAGAATAGATAGAGGATACGATAATCTTTCTTTTTCTCCCACCAGCCCTTCACATGGTCATACCAAGAGCCAAAAGCCACTACAGTGAAAGATAAAATGTTTGCAAATTAAAACCACTTACATAAAGTCAAGAATTATTAAATTGTTAAATGTTATTCAAGTGTAATTAAAAACAAAAGTAGTAAGGAATATATACTGCTTATTTATTAGTTCAAGAAAAAGATATGCTAGTATAAGGGAGCTATATCAAATCACCCCTGCTATCACTGAATTTACAATCTACTTAGAATAAAATACTTCCCATTATGAGATAAATTGTGTCCCCCAAACTTCTTCAGTTGAAGTCCTAAACACCAGTCCTAAACACTTCATAATATGACTGAATTTTGACATGGGATCTTTAAAGAAGTAATTAAGTTAAAATGATGTCATTAAGGGTGGGCCCTAATCCAGATGACTATTCTCAAGCATTGAAATCTAATGGAATTTGCCTTGTTAAATTTCAGCTTTTTTTTTTTTTTTTCTGTCTTATTTATTTTTTTCCACATGGGAATGTCTATCTTAATGGTTGTCCCACCATTATATTTTGGAGAAAGACTATCTGATTTTACAAGTTCACAGTTAAAGAGGAATTTTATCCAAGGACAAGCCTGCAACCAAGCCACGTGCCCCTCGTCAGAACAGAACTCGGGACCCTTCGGTCTGAAGACCAATGCTCTGCCCACTGAACCAAACCCAGTAGGGCTGACTTACATGATATTTAGAATAGATTTTAGATTCAGAATTGATGCTGGAATAGTTTAAGACTTTTGTGGTTTGAGGTATATAGTGAATGCATTTTGAATGTGAAGGACATAATTTTTTTTTTTGGGGGGGGGCCACAGAAAGCAGAGTATTATGGCTGAATTGTGTCTACCCTGAAATTAATGTGTTGAAATCTGAAGCCCAATACCTCAGAAAAAAAAAATATATATATACATACATATATATGTGTGTATATATATACATATATATGTTAATATATATTAAGGGCTAATATGCTAAGTGTCCATCTGCTTGTCCAACTGGTCACTATCATGCGCACTGGCCACCAGGAGGCAGATGCTCAAGGCAGGAGGTGCTGAGCTGCAGTGACTTGGCAGTGGTGGTTTTCAGGTGACACATCCTGAACCAGAGAGGAGGGAGCCCAATTCCTCCCATGGCTGCATGATTCCACCTTTGGCTGTGGGTTATGTTTTTGCTGGGGCATTGTCACCCCGAATCTGGTTTACTGCACACTTGTGATTGTGTACCATACCCTGCATGACAGCAACTTTGCCCTCTCACACGCTGGGCCCCTCAGGGGATGTCAGAGAGCAAATTTCAGCCCGATTCCCATAGGCCAGGCCAGGCCAAGGGACCTCAACTGCCAGAGGGATGGCTCCAGGGCATGTTTGTCCCATCTGGCCCAGTCCCACCCGGCAGCCCACCTTCTAATTCAATGTGCACAAATCTGTGTATGGGTCACTAGTGTGACTATATTTGAAGGTGGTGTCTTTACAGAGGTAATTAAGTTAAAATAAGCTCATTAAGATGTGTCTGTTGGGAATCAAAATCAGTCTCACCAAGATCTGCCACTCTGGCATACAGATTACATATTTCAAGCTAAAAATAACCAAGGCTCGGAGGCTCAGGAAGAAACTTTGGCCTTCTCCTTTATTGAATAAAATAACTGAAGAGAGTGGACCTGCTCCAGGAGGGGAGATATCATGGGATACTCCAGTTTAATTTGAACCAAATTGTGCAGGGAGGAACCTGGCAAAGCCCATTTCATCAAAGTCCTTCATAGGTCCTATTATTTCAAGATGACCCATAAACATTTGTTTATTGAAAATCCCCTTGTATGTTTGCCTTCCTTCCCTGGTTCTTCCTCCTTGATCCAGAATGACATATAGACCTCATTTTGCCTTCCTATCCTTAAAATTTTCATGCTTATGTGAATTCCCCATAATGAAAGTATTAAAACTTTTGTTAACCTGTCTTATGTTCATTCTGCCAGCCAGAAGAACTAAGAGGGTAATGGGAAAGTTTTCACATCCCTGACAGGTTTTAATCCAATATAACTGATCTCTTTATAATAAGAGATAATTACAACCCAGACATACACAGAAAAAAGACCATGTGAAGACACATAGAAGATGATCATCTGCAAGGCAACACAAAGGGCCTCAGAAGAAACCATCATGAGGATACCTTGATCTTGAATTTTAGCCTCCAAAACTGTGAGAAAATAAAGTTTTCTTGCTTAAGCCACTCAGTCTGTGGTACATTGTGGCAATCTTAGCAAATAAATATAGCCTTTGGTAAATAAAATTAAAACTAGAAGAGGAAGATGGCAGGTAATAATACAGACAACAAGTGGTACAGATGTTCATAAGAGAGGGAAATAGGGAGAGAAAAACATAAGGATGGAGAGATGAAGAAAGAGCTGTGGCAGCAGTGGAGTGTATCTAGTTCTAAGAAGAGTTGGCATTGATAATATGAATGTGTAGACATTCTATGGACACAGAATAGTCCAAACTAATGGCAAGAGTAAAAAAAAAATTGCAAGATTCCATTGAGATGTATTTGCTTTGAAAAGAGACTTGGCAAATGTTTATATGAAAATTAATGTAAAGTTACTACCATGGATCTGAGTATATTATTCTGAAAGAGAAGATACACAGATAGAAAAATAGAACCTTGAAGTTAAAATCTTCATTCAATACTTTTTAGTTTATATAATTAAACTGAAGAAATTGTTAAGAAAAAAGGGGTCAATAAATATGTATAAAATGATGACATATAGCAAGAAAAAAGGCACCTGGCAGTAGTCAGCAAGTACTAATGAAACAATGAGACCAACGGCTTAAAAACCTGTTTATCATATATTCTCCAAAAGTCCTTAAAGGGAAGAGATGGCAATGTATTTTTTTCTTCTATTGTTTTCTTCATGCATTAGTATACTGCTGAGGACATATTAGGTTTATAATAAATACAAAATTTATATAAAAAAAAGACTTTTCATTATGAAACTCCATGATGAAAGTAAGAATTGGACTCACCCTTCCCAGTCATGAATTTACCCAGAAACTCCTCCCAGGTACCAGGCTCTGGGTGCAATTTTGCCATTTGGTAGAAATAATAATAGGACACAGCCACATCTTTAGCATTCCTTGCCACATAGATCATCTGTGGGGAGAGATGATAAATCATAATTTTGTTTATATTCTTTAAAAATGGCCGAAACCGGTTTGGCTCAGTGGTAGAGTGTCGGTCTGCGGACTGAAAGGTCCCAGATTCAATTCTGGTCAGGGGCATGTTCGTTGGTTGTGGGCACATCCCCGGTAGTGGGTGTGCAAGAGGCAGCTGGTCGATGTTTCTCTCTCATCGACGTTTTTAGCTCTCTATCTCTCTCCCTTCCTCTCTGTAAAAAAAATCAATAAAATATATTTTAAAAAAAGAAAGTATATTCTTTTAAAATGTGTAAACATTTGCTTATCTTGACAGAATGTCTATTTTTCTCTTTCTCATTTCCTGATCTGGGTGTGTGTAGATATACCTGACATAGGATATTGACAAAAACCTAGTTATTTTAACACAAACTCTTCTCATCCCTTACACCTTTGGATTCTCTTCAGACTTTCAAAAGATATCTCTTGAGCCCTAACTGGTTTGACTCAGTAAATAAAGCATTGACCTGTGGACTAAAGGGTCCGAGATTCGAGTCAGTCAAGGGCATGCACCTTGGTTGCAGGCACAACCCCACTAGGGGGTGTGCAGAAGGCAGCTGATTAATGTTTCTCATTGATGTTTCTAACTCCCTCTCCCTCCTCTTTGTAAAAAAAAAAAAAAAAAAATCAGAAAAATATATTTAAAAAAAAGACATCTCTTGAAATATGGAAAACCAAGCATAATAAGAATTAAATATTAAATTGACAAAAAATAATATTGTTCTAACATTTAGAATATTTTTTGTATCATTACTTAGCAAAACTAATTAAAAACACCATTTTTTAGAGTTAAAATGCTATTTTTTCATTAAAAATAAATTACTTTTGGATAAATACTAAAGTTTATATATTTTATAATTACAGACAAAAAAAATCAAACTAGTTCATGGTGAAAAATTTCTGGATAGTGGTTATTTTGGAGATAGGGATTCTTGCCTGGAAATGTATAAAGAATAGAGCTTTTAGGGTGCTAGTTAATTTATTAGTTTCATGGGTACACACACTTTGTGAAAATCCATCAAGCTATAGCTATGATGATGTATGCACTTTTTCCCCTAAATGTTATGCTTAAATTAAAATGAGTATTAAAAGAAGACGCCTAAAACAATTCCATAAATATATAACTTATAGATTATAAATTATATATAACTAGAGGCCTGGTGCATGAAATTCATGCATGAGTGTGTGTGGGGGGGACGCCCTCAGCCTGGCCTACACCCTTTCCAATCTGGGACCTTTGGACATCCCTCTAGCAATCTGGGACCACAGCCTCCTAACTGCTCACCTGCCTGCCTGATCACCTCTAATCCCTTTACCTGCCTGTCTGATCACCCCTACCTTGCCCTCCTGCCATCCTGATCACTCCTACCTAGCCCCCTGATCAACCCTTACTGCCTCTGCCTCACTCCTGACCTAAGTTATAGTCTGCCCTCCCTCTACAGGAGGCAACCTGGTGGATCAGGAAAAGGCACTGCCCCCATTACCCTGCTGCTGCTGCCACTGCTGGCCTGAGACTGGGCCCTTCACAGCCCCAACTTGGCCCTCACAGCTGCTGTGGCTTTGTCCAGAAGGATGTCTGGACAGTGGTCTGGTAGCCTTCTGCCCTAATTAGCAATTACCCTTTTATTAGTATAGTTTATATATTTATAAATTGCAGTGACACTGAATTCATAAATAAGCTGTTCTGGGGTATTTAAAGGTCTATTGTTTACAAGTAGACAGTGAAGGGATTTAAACAGAAAGGTATTTTAGAGAAGGGAAAACCTGAGAGAAACTATGGCTTAGGCAGTGAGTATTAGTAATCCCTTAACTATAGCAATGAAATCCATTGGTATATTTTGACCTTTAATATATGGACTACATTATTATTTTTTACAATGATTTACCCAGGGGTTGAAATCTTATCTTAATCCCTGCATAATTAGTAAAAGAAATAACAACACAAATAAGAATAATTTCTTTAAATTTTGCTACCTTGCAGTTATTCTTCCAAAATGAAAAAGGAAGAAGTTGAACAGGCAAGTGTGTTTTCACTAATCGAGGAGACTGCATTTTTTTCAAGTCCTCAATGCCTATAAGCATAAAAGTTAAATTGCATTATAAATGTGGTATCATAAAGGTCAGTTACAATATAATCTAAGACTTTGTAAACTTTAACCCCACTATATGGCTTAAAATGATTATATGGCTAAATGGCCTCATATAAATCTAAATCTACATGAGATTAAAAAATAATTAATTCTGGTTAGTTAGGCTGTTTTATTGCCTATGAATTGTAGAGTTTATTATCTTTGTAATTGTCTATAAAAATCTTCATATATAATATCTGACGAGGCAGAAACAGCAGTTGGTCAAGATGTCCAAATTTTTTCTTCATTTATGTTCTTTGCCTAATTTACAATGTGGAGAAATTGAACTAGAGCAGAGTAGTGTTTGGCAAACTGCAGCTCGAGAACCATATGCGGCTCTTTGGCCCCTTGAGTGTTCTAACGCCACTTCTTCAAAATAGACTCACTAAGGCAACTTCTGCGCATGGGCCATGAAGTTTCAATCACACTGTACGTGCGCACCCGCACGTGGTATTTTGTGGAAGAGCCACACTCAAGGGGCCAAAGAGCCGCATGTGGCTCCAAGCCGAGGTTTGCAGACCACTGAACTAGAGGATTTCAAATTCCTTTCCTGTTTTCTTTTTTGGCATTTTAATTTTTAAATTTATTTTATAATTATAATTGACATACAATATTATATTCATTCAAGGGTACAACATAGTGATTAGACATTATAATATCTTCTGAAGTGATTACCCTGGTTTAAGTCTAGTACCCTTTACATCCCCATGACTATTTTTTATAACTGGAAATTTGTACTTTTTCATCCCTTTCCAGCTTTCTTGAGATCAAATTAAGCTATGAGATTCATGACTAATTTAAAAAATTTTAATAATGTAAAACTTTATAACAATGTAATAATGTAAGACTTTTCCAAGTGCTAAGAAAAAGGTGGGTCAACTCAGTACTATACTAGTGGCCTAATCTACACAGGCTTAAGCAATGATTCACAGAACAAAAGAAACCTAAATTCAACATTTTTTTTCTTGAGTCTGTAAAGATCAGCTAACTAGCAATAGATATCATTCTATATTGAATCAAACACTGAATTTTTTGTGTATAATGATCACTGAATATTCAAATGTTAAAGACTTCCACCAGTCCTATTAACAAAAAATATATATATTCATTAAAATTTCTTCTTATTCAAATATTATCTTTGGGTGGAAGTGGAGTATAATATGGTTATTAGAATAAGTGAATACTCTTATTATAGATACTTATGATTCCCATCTGTATCATTTTTCATTATCATTCCTCTAGACATCACAAAAAAAAATAAAGGAATTTGCTCCTATGGTGAAAAGGAACATTAAGAGAAAATACCATTTTCGATTCCAGGAACTATAAGTTCCATGAATGGCACTCGGTTGTATATTGCATCCCGTTTACATTTCTCTGTATCCCCATTGTTATAGATCAAATCCACTATTTCACTGACCCAGGTTGTCCCTGAAAAAAAAAAGAAAGAAAGAAAGAGAGAGAAGGAACTTTAAACTTTTCTGTCAAAAAAGTATGAAATGGTCACAAGACATTAGGTAACATAAAAAATAAAAATGTGCTCTTAGAATTCATGCATTTTTTTCTCTTCTCTCTTTTCCTAGTAGACATCCTTATATATTTTGAACATATACTATATATATGTATTCTGCATATGTCTCCAATCTGATTAAAATACTCATAAAAGTAAAGTCTGAAAAGGAAGTAAAATATGGGGTATAAAAGAGACATTGTGGGCCTTGGCTGGGTAGCTCAGTTAGAGCATCGCCCATTCATCAAGCTTGCCAGTTCCAATCTCTGGTCAGGCCACATACACGAATCAGCCAATGAATGCATAAATAAGTGGAATAACAAATCAATGTTGCTTTCTCTCATTTCTCTCCAATCAATCAATTAAAAAATTAATAAACCAAGTTTTAGAAAAGAGATTTGTAGAAGAAATGATAGTTCACTTTTCTGTGTGGGATAGTTGGGGGAAGCAGCCAACTTTAATGACTCTGGACTCCAATTTCTACATTTTCTAATAATATCAAAATGACTATTATTCTTTGGGACTGAAGGACACTTTGGGTAAAAATGTTTAACATTTTGGAGAAGAGAAAAACAGGGGTGAAGGAAAACAAAGAGAATTTTGGCATTTTATCTGTGGTGACCATTGTTACACTACCAAGTCAAAGACAATATATTCTGTTTGAACGTAGTGGATTAAGTCACTCTGTTCTTTTTTTTTAAAAAAAATATATATATTTTATTGATTTTTTACAGAGAGGAAGGGAGAGAGATAGAGAGCTAGAAACGTCGATGAGAGAGAAACATCAACCAGCTGCCTCTTGCACACCCCCTTCCAGGGATGTGCCCGCAACCAATGTACATGCCCTTGAATTGAACCTGGGACCTTTCAGTCCGCAGACCAATGCTCAACCACTGAGCCAAACCGGCATCACTCTGTTCTTTATGAAATTGTGTCTCACCAGACTTTGAGAAATTGCTATAATGTACATGAGCTTATGCTCTATTTAATTGGCTATGTCACTCAATGATATGAGTATCAGGATACTGTTTAAAAAGTGATTACAATTCATAGAAGAAAAATATCTTCTTAACTGTTCCCATCTCTTTCCCCTTTATGAAACATATAATGATGTGCCAAAACCGGTTTGGCTCAGTGGATAGAGCGTCGGCCTGTGGACTGAAAGGTCCCAGGTTTGATTTCGGTCAAAGGCACGTACCTTGGTTGTGGGCACATCCCCAGTAAGGGTTGTGCAAGAGGCAGCAGATAGATGATTCTCTCTCATCAATGTTTCTAACTCTCTATCCCTTCCTCTTCCTCTCTGTAAAAAATCAAATGCCAATAAAATTTGATAGAAGGAAATTCTATTTTAGATATGCTTTCAGTTGAAAAGTTTATTTTTCATTAGTTTTGAAAAAAAGGAATGGTTTAATTAACTTTCCCTGGCTGGTACGGTTCAGTGAGAACACCCTTCTGTACACCAAAGGGAGGCAGGTTCAATTCCCCATCAGGTCACATATCTAGGTTTCATGTTCTATCGGGAGGCAACAAATTTATGTTTTTCTCCCACATGGATGTTTCTCTTTCTCTCTCTCTCTCTTCCTCTCTCTAAAATCAATAAAATAAAAAATTTAAAAATTATTTAATTTGAATATTTTTAAAAAAATTATCTTTATTGTTGCAAGTATTATAGATGTCTCAGCTTTTCCTCCCCATTGACCTCCTCCACCCCACTTTCTGTCCCCTCCCCAAGTGCTTCCTCTCTATCTATGCATATAAACATGTAAGTTCATTGGTTAATCTCTTCCTGTCCCCTCCCTCTGAATTATATCAGTCTGTTGTTGCATGTGTCAATGTCTCTGGATCTTTTTGTTCATCAGTTTATTTTGTTCATTAGATTCCACATATAAGTGAGATCATGTGATATTTGTCTTTCTCTGACTGGTTTATTTTGATTAGCATAATACTCTCCAGGTCCCTCCATATCCTTAACTTGGAACAAAAGAAAAGAAAATGATCAAAAAGAGTATATGATTAATTTATGTGTAGCCACCTAGCCATCTAACATTAAGGACACTAGAAAAAATTCATCATCAAAGAGCAGCTTTGTAGATGAACTATTTGTGTAATGGTACCTTCCAAAGACTTTCTTAATAGTTTCATATTTATAAATATATAAAAATAGCAAAACAACAGCCCTGACCAGTTTGGCTCAGTGTATGGAGTGTTGGCCTGCAGACTGAAGGGTCCCAGGTTCAATTATGGTCAAGGGCATTTACCCTGGTTGCGGGCACATTCCCAGTGGGAGGTGTGCGGGAGGCAGCTGATTGGTGTTTCTCTCTCATTGATGTTTCTGGATATGCCCGCAACCAAGGTACATGCCCTTGACCGGAATCGAACCCGGGACCTTTCAGTCCCCAAGCCGACGCTCTATCCATTGAGCCAAACCAGTCTCGGCTGTTTCTGGTTTTCTATCACTCTCCCTTCCTCTCTATATAAAAAAAAAATCAATAAAATGTATTTTTTTAAAAAGAAAGAATTCTTACTATTTGCAACAGCATGGATGGAACTGGAGATCATTATGCTAAGTGAAAAAAGCCAGTCAGAAAAAGATAAATATCACTTGATCTCACTCATTTGTGAAATATAATGAACAACATAAGCTGATGAACAAAAACAGATCCAGAGACAGGGAAGCATCGATCAGACCATCAGACCTCAGAGGGAAGAGAGGTGAGGGTGGGGGTAAGGGGAAGAAATCAACCAAAGGACTTGTATGCGTGCATATAAGCCTAACCAATGGACACAGGCAGCAGGGGGTAAGGGCATGAGTGTGTTGGTGGGAGGCAATGGGGGAGTAAGGACATATATGTAATACCTTAATCAATAAGGAAAAGAAATACTGTTTTCCATCTGCAGTTGGTTGAATCTGCTGATGCACACCTTGGGGATATGGATAGACAACTATATATATATATATTTTCCTTAAATAAGTAGACACATGCAGTTCAAACCCATGTTATTCAAGGGTCAACTGTACAAATAAATGAAAAGGTCTTACCAGATTTGGGATAGGTGGCGATCAAAAGGTCATCTGGTCGGCTTTCAAATGACTCCACCTGGGACCACTCCTCAGCAATGCACCAGAAGAGAGGGATACCCTGAACATCCACTAACTCCCTCCTGTAAACATCCAGCTTGTTGTCCATGTTTGAGACTGTATTTTATACAGAGAGACTTTGTTTTACATAACATCAATATGTTTATTACATTTTATTCACTAAATTATTAATTGCATTTTATTCACTAAAGTAATTTTTCATTTATCTAGATCTAGCAGCATCAGATCATGGTACTGTGTATTATAAATCAGCAGAAGGAAAAATTATTTTATTTTATTTTTCTTTTTTCCTTAAATAATAATTTTATGATTAATATCTAAATGTATTTATAAAAGTCAAGAAACCCCTCAATCACACCCATATTATTTACTTTTTTGAGAAAATTTATTAGTTGGTTTTTTTTTTAATGTGTAATCAGGCATAAAGCAAACAAAGCAATAAAAAGAGAAAGTGGGCTAAGAAGAGGAAAAAACTATTTTAAAAACCAATGAGATCTTACACAGTTTATTTTATATGTACTGATTATATGATAATATCATCAATATTTAAAAATATATTTTATTAATTATTTACACAGAGGAAGAGAGAGGGATAGAGTTAGAAACATCTGTGAAAGAGAAACATTGACCAGCTGCCTCCGGCACACTCCCTTCTGGGGGTGTGCCTGCAACCAAGGTACATGACCTGGGAATCGAACCTGGGACCCTTCTGTCCGCAGGCCAACACTGAACCAAACTCGTTAGGGCTATCATCAATATTTTTAGTGGGTATACAAAGACTTCTGGAAGATGTAATAAAATTTCTGGACTTTAGAGTTAGAAGTGTCCTGAATCACAGTGCTGTCATTTCATTGCAGTGGGAATGTAAATAAGTTCCATGACTATTCCAAATGTTTTTAAATATAAAATAAGGAGTGGCCTAACTTAGTACTCCTTAAATTACTGGCTGAACCACTAAATGTAAACTAGCTAAAGGTAAATTATTCTTAGTTATTTACAACAGACCACAAGAATAAAAGAGAGAGGGAGGGACTTGAAGTAAGTGTAGCATTGGAAATACATTGCTCTGATTAAGGAGCAATAGTGATATGCCATTTTTTATTCTGGACAGGGATCTAATGAAGGTACTTATTCCTCTTTAGCTGCTGTATGAAAAAGTGGGAAAGCTTGAAATATAATCTATGTCCTACTCCAAAACATGTTGTTTCCAAATTGAGCATGGGCTGAATGGTTATTTTTCTTTCTCTAAAGTTCTAGAAAAATGAGACAATCTAATAATTTCAGATTTAAAAGGCTTCCTGAGGTCCTCTAGCAGCTGCTGAATCTTACATCAATAATTAAAATCAGAAACCTCTGGAGCCAATAGACATAACCCAACTTGTGTCTTTTCCAAAGTACAATTTCTTACCTTCTTTATTTCTCTTTTTTCAAGTCCTTACAACTCCACCCTTATCCTACCTCATCCAAATACCTTTTACTTTAAAAGGTTATGAAGTCACAGGACACTAAATCAATATTCAAATACCCGTTGCATGCATATAAGTTAATTTAAAAAAAACTATCACAAAGAAATTAATAAAATAATCCCATTTGCAATTACATAAAAATGTCTAGAGATAAATTTAACTAGAGAAACAAAAGGCCAATACAATGAAAACCATAAGACATTAAGGAAAGAAACTGGAGAAGACACAAATAAATGAAAAATATTCTGTACTCATGGATTGGAAGAATTAATATTGTTAAAATGTATATATTGTCCAAGGTAACCTATATATATTTAATATAATCTCTATCAAAATTTCAAAGACATCTTTCACAGAAACAGAACAAACTATTCTAAAATATGTATGGAACCACAAAAGACCCAAAATAACAAAACTAATCTTAAGAAAGGAAATCAAAGCTGGAGAGGCATCACACTCCATGATTTCAAACTATAATACAAAGTTATAGTAATAAAAACATTATGGAGTGTCATAAAAACAGGTACATAGATTATTAGAACAGAATAAAGAGCAAGAGTTAATTTGGAAAAGAGGAGAACTTTCCAGCCCGGAATTAGTATGTGTTAGTATAAAGACCCTATCTATGCTGGGGGAAAGAAATAAGGTCCATGAGCCTACAGTGCAAAAAGTGAGGATCAATTGTGAATACTTCACTAAATTATGTGGTAAGAAATTAAAGATTTCAGGGTTATTTCTTGCTAATTGTGCCTGGGTTATACTGGATTTCTGACTAGTCTCATCAGAATAGGAGGGTGCACCACCTGCCATTATGCATAGTTCCAGCAGAGGTTCTGTCATACTATGAGAGAATGGTGATATGCAATTGAATCTGGGATGTTCCTGAGTGTCATTGAGGGAGGAGTATATAATTAGATATTAATTGAAGTTTTTATTTTTGCTTTTACTAAAAATCATGGGATTTATAAATACCATAAAGTTTCAAACTTAATAATCACAAGTATAACTTATGAACCTTGTTCTTCAGTTCTTATCCTAGAGTCCCTATTTGGTGATTCCATATTCACTTCACCATTAAAGTCAGCCATCTAGAGATTCCGTCTTCTCTTAAACTTTTCCAAATTCAATCATTTCACAAATCTGATTATTTCTTTTTTTTCTTTCAAGTGTCCCTGGAAAAAGCAGCTTCTCTTCATGAACTAGCTTTGTAGTTAAGACTGTTAGGTCCCTAGATTCATAAACAATATGCTAGACCTGTCATTTACTACCAATGTGACTCTGGACAATCAAAACTCTAATTCAATTTTTTAATCTTAAAATGGAGGTAATGATTTACTAACTTTACACAACTATTGGTGATGGATATAACATGTATATTGGTAAAAATGGTGTATATTTGATAAAGGGTAGCCATTATTGATATTGTCATTACTAGTGTCATTACTGGGTTACTAGTAATGACATTTTGAAAGGAAATTTGAAAGGAAATTAATTAGAAGAAATATTTTAATATTTGCCCTTTCTCTATAATAGAAGTGTCAACCAAATTCACGATAGACAATGACAGATAGAAACATACGTGTGAGATTGGCACCTGTGAGAGCTTTATAAATATGGATAAACTTGCTTAATTAGACCTGCTTTCTGATTTAGCTAAACTTTTTCCAGCCCAGTGAAACACCCCAACTTCTCTTTCAGGTAATTGTCAGCCAACATCAACTCAAAGCAGATTTTTATTGTAGATCATACAGGGAGAAAAAAGGGTAAAATATTTAACTGTAGCAATGTTTGACTATATTCTGTGCAGTGAGAAAACCTAAAGTCATTTTCAAGGTCCACCATTTCTTAATTCTTTTCAGTTGGGTCAAGTTTCTAAACTTTCTAAATCTCCATTGTCTGGCTAATGAAAAAAAATATATATAGGATTCCTACTTACCTATTCCAGGACTTCTGTGAGGATCAAATGAGATGAGGCACAGAAAAAGGCTTCACAAACATTTGGTTAAATGATAAAATATTTGCGCCTGGCTATTAAGCAAGTCATGTTCCTGGGCTGAAGAAACTCCAAGGAGGCTAGTCACTAGGGAGAGGAAACTGGGTGTTGCTATGTGACAACATTACCTGGCACCCACAGCTACTTTCTGGGATGGGCTGGGCTGGGCTAGGCTGGGCTGTGCTGGGCTGTGCTGGGCTGTGTTTCTAGGCTTGGCTGGGCTGTGGACTGCATTTTGTGCCATGAGGTCTCAGCAGCATTGGCTGCAATTTGGTGGGATGTCAACTGTGCTCCACTTGAGGAAAGCAAAGTGTTGTTGTCAGTGCCAGGTCCTTGGTGCCATTTATTTTTAAACTAGAGGCCTGGTGCATAAAATTTGTGCATGGGTGTATGTGTCCGTCAGCCCAGCCTGCACCCTCTCCAATCTGGGACCTTTGAGGGATGTCTGACTGCTCCTGTAGGCCCGATCCCTGGGATCCTACCGAGATTGGGCCTAAATGAGCAGTCAGACATCCCTCTCACAATCTAGGACAACTGGCTCCCAACTGCTCACCTGCCTGCCTTCCTGATTGTCCCTAACCACTTCCACCTGCCAGCCTAATCACCCACTAATCATCCCCTTACCAGCCTGGTTGATGCCTAACTGCTCCCCTGCCAGCCTGTTTGCCCCTAACTGCCCTCCTCTGCAGGCCTGATCCCCCTCAACTGCCTTCCCCTGCAGGCTTGATCATCCCCAACTGCCCTCCCTTGTAGGCCTGGTGTCTCCCAACTGCCCTCTCATGTTGGCCATCTTGTGGTGGCCATCTTGTGTCCACAGGGGGCAGACATTTTTGACCAAATAGGGGCAGCAATTTTGTGTGTTGGAGTGATGGTCAATTTGCATATTACTCTTTTATTAGATAGGATTAAAAGCCTGATGCACAAAATTTGTGCATGGGCGGGGGAGAAGGTGGTCGCGTCCCTCAACCCAGCCTGCACTTTCTCCAATCTGGGACCATCTTGTATCCACATGGGGCAGAATCTTTGACCACATGTGGGCAGCTATGTTGATCTTGTGTATTGGAGTGATGGTCAATCTGCATATTACTCTTTTATTAGATAAGATAGAGGCCTGGTGCTTGGGTGGGGGCCAGCTGGTTTGCCCTGAAGAGTGTCCCGGATTAGGGTGTGGATTCCCTTGGAGGGTGGGGTGGCCTGGGTGAAGGGCCTGTGGTGGTTTTCAGGTGGGCCACACCCCCTGGCTACCCAAGCAGAGGCCCTGATATTTGGAATTTATTTACTTTCTACAATTGAAACTTTGTAGCCTGGAGTGGAGCCAAGCCTCCTGCTTGCTCTGTGGCTGCCGCCATTTCTGTTTGGATTTGTTTACCTTCTATAACTGAAACTTTGTAGCCTTGAGTGGATACTTAGGCCAGCAAGGCAGGCAGAAAGCTAGGTTTCCTCCATTAATGGGGAAACCCAAGCCTCCTGCTCACTCCATGAATGCAGCCATTTTGGTTGGGTTAATTTGCATACTTGCTCCTGATTGTCTTTTGGACATGGCTTGTGGGTATAGCAGAAGTATGGTCAATTTGCATATTACTCTTTTATTACATTGGATGGACAATGTGGGTCATGGCAGCTCCTATA